AACTTGCCCCACCCCACCAGACCAAGCACCCACCGATACCTCCTCAAACCCCGCAGTCTCCCAGCCCTTCCGGGTAACTCCCCATTACCTCCTGGGCATGACGTGCTGTGGTATGGAATACCTCTTAGGCTAGCTTGGGTCAGGTGTCCTGTCTCTGCTTCCTCTCGGCTTTCCCTCCTCCCTGGCAGAGCATGAGCCTCACAAAGTCCTTGGCCAAACCAAAACATCATTGTTATCAGCTCTGTTCCCAGGCCGAAAGTCAAAACACAGCACTGCACCAGCTACCAAGAAGGAGAAAAATGACTGATACTGCTGAACCCAGGACACTGTGCCTGGCAAAATCTTGGAGCAGATTCCCCTGGAAGGCATGCTAAGGCACATGAAAATCAACAAGGTATTTGGTGACAGCCAGCATGGCTTCACTGAGGGGAAATCCTGCCTGACCAATGTGGTGGCCTTCTGTGATGGGGCTACAGAACTGATGGACAGGGGTAGAGCAGTTGATGGCATCTACCTGGACTTGTGCAAAGCGTTCGACACTGTCCCACACGACATCCTTGTCTCTAAATTGGAGAGACATCAATTTGATGGATGGACCACTCGGTGGATAAAGAACTGGCTGGATGGCCGCACGCAGAGAGTTGTGGTCAATGGCTCAATGTCCGGCTGGAGACCAGTAACGAGTGGTGTCCCTCAGGGATCGGTGTTGGGACCGGTCTTGTTTAACGTCTTCGTCGCTGGCATGGACAGTGGGATTGAGTGCTCCCCCAGCAAGTTTGCTGACAACACCAAGCTGTGTGGTTCCCCTGAGACCTTGGAGGGAAGGAATGCCATCCAGAGGGACCTTGACACACTTGTGAGGTGGGCTGATGCCAACCTTATGAAGTTTAACCATGAGAAGTGCAAGGTCTTACACTTGGGTGGGAGCAATCACAGGCACAGCTACACAGCTACAGGTTGGGCAAAGAAGAGATTCAGAGCAGCCCTGTGGAGAAGGACTTGGGGGTTGGTTGATGAGAAAATGAACATGAGCAGGCAGTGTGCGCTTGCAGCCCAGAAAGCAACCGTATCCTGGGCTGCATCAAAAGCAGCGTGACCAGCAGGTCGAAGGAGGTGATCCTGCCCCTCTACTCTGCTCTTGTGAGACCTCACCTGGAGCATTGTGTGCAGTTCTGGTGTCCTCAACATAAAAAGGACATGGAACTGTTGGAACAAGTCCAGAGGAGGCCACGAGGATGATCAGGGACTGGAGCACCTCCTGTATGAAGACAGGCTGAGGAAGTTGGGGCTGTTCAGCCTGGAGAAGAGAAGGCTGCGTGGAGACCTCGTAGCAGCCTTCCAGTATCTGAAGGGGGCCTATAGGGGTGCTGGAGAGGGACTCTTCATTAGGGACTGTATTGATAGGACAAGGGGTAACGGGTTAAAACTTAAACAGGGGAAGTTTAGATTGGATATAAGGAAGAAACTCTTTCCTGTTAGGGTGGTGAGGCACTGGAATAGGTTGCCCAGGGAGGTTGTGAATGCTCCATCCCTGGCAGTGTTCAAGGCCAGGATGAATGAAGCCTTGGGGGATACGTTGTAGTGTAAGGTGTCCCTGCCCATGGCAGGGGGGTTGGAACTAGATGATCTTAAGGTCCTTTCCAACCATAACTATTCTACGATTCTATGATTCTATGAACTTGCCTGATGATTTGGAGTCTTGGCTGAACTTGGCCCAGGTCTCTGTTCCTGCCTTACTGCTCTTGCTCAGGTACTGTGGGATGGTCCCTGCACACCATGGTGTTCCCCTCTGGCTCTGTTTAAAGAGATTAAAGAGATAAACCTCTGTAGTACTGGCCAGGTTTCTGCAAATTAGAACCTTTCTCTGGCTGCACCCAACAGCCCTGCCAGTGCTCACTGCTCTGGCAGTCACTCTCCATTCAGACCTTGTCCCTGCATGGGCAAATTAAGAGATAGTCTTCTCAGTGAGGCAAATGAGTAAGCAACTGAACATTCTATTCAATGTTATTCTCTGGTCATTAGTATCTCCTTCATTTCAAAATATATTAGAATTATGGTCTTTAGTAGATGAGCAGCACTTTTGTTTGGAAATGGGGTTCAAGTCTTAGTAAAGACTCTTTAATCTTTCCAGCTTCAATGTTTCTTTGCTTTGAAGATGCTGAGGTGCCATCTCTAAGAAATGCTCTTTCTCAGTAACTTCAGAGCAGTTTCTGATCTTGTTCTAGTCTGTCTCCCAGAAGAAAACCCATCTCAAAGGTTGAGGAATTAACAGCTCCAGATGTTTAACTTGTGAAATCACTAAAGAAATTCTTCATTTACATCTGAAGGGGAGAGAAAACAAGATTGCCATGGGGTGATGTGCCCAGTGAGGCTGCTGGCATCGTATCCCAACCATCTAAGATAGAAAGTAAAAAACAGTACAGACAGGAGTCTCTGGTTGATGCAGCCAAACATTGACACCCAACACCCTATAGAACTGAACAGAGCTAAAAAGGAGAGTTGGAGAATTTACTTCTCTGAAGATCTGATTTATAAAGCAAGCCAGGAGGTGAGAAAATCTTTTTTTTCTCAAGATAGAGATGATTCTGTGCAGTACAGTCATGCAGATTCATACATTGAGTCCAAGTCTGTATGTGTCACTTGTAATACCAGTTTTATACATTTTATTTGTATTCCTCTGTCACACATATATATATTTACACACATACACATATTACGCATATTGGAGCTGAGGGACAGCGTCAAGAATCTTGCAAGAAAAGCGGATATTTATCAGTGACAAAAGTGAGAATTGAATAAAGCTGATGGGTGTTTCCTGTGAGGAAAAAGAAGCCTGGGATAAATCAAGGTAACTGACTTCTGTGTAGGAACTGTGAAAGAAGATGTATAAAGTCATGAGGATTAGAGGAAAATCCCATTAGTTTAGACTTTCTTACTTGATGTAGAGTATTCATGTCCTGCATGATACAAGTCTTGTATGTTGCCAGTGGTTGAACAGCCTCCTCACACACTTCAGCAAAGCCCCCTTCACCTCCTTATTCCTCAGGCTGTAGATGAATGGGTTGAGCATTGGGGTGACCACGGTGTAAAAGACAGAGGCCACCTTATCCAGGCTCCTATGGCTAGAAGGTTGTAGGTACATGAAGAATGCTGACCCAAAGTATATGGACACAGCCCTCAAATGGGAGGCACAGGTGTGGAAGACTCTGGCCCTGCTCTGTGCTGAGCACATCTTCAGCAAGGTGCGGATGATAGAGATGTAGGAGAGCAAAATGACCACGCTTGTGCCCACTACGTTGATGGTGACGAAGGCAAAGATGAGCATCTCACTGCTGTGGGTGTCAGAGCACACGAGCTTTACTACAGGAACTTTGTCACAGAAGAAGTGGTCAATGCGGTTGGGACCACAGAAGGAACCTCCAAACACACACCATGTGTAGATGATGGCACTGAGGAAGGCAAATAGGTAGGATGATGCTACCATAGTAGAAAACAAAGGTGAGGTGTAAGCTGCCAGCAGACAGGGCTGGAGATGATGGTCCCATAAAGCAGGGGCTGGCAGATAGCAACGTGCTGGTCATAGGCCATCATGGCCAGGAGGTGACACTCAATAGTAGCAAAGAAACAAAGGTGAGGAACTGCGTCATGCAGCCAGTGAAAGAAATGGTTTTGTCCTCTGATAACAGGTCTGCCAGCATCCTGGGAGAGATGACTGTGGAATAGCAGATGTCAGTGAAGGCAAAATGGGTGAGGAAGAAGTACATGGGGATATGGCGGCTGGGAGACACCTGAACCAAGATGATAATGCCAAAGTTCCCCCAAAGTGACAATGTAAATCATTACAAACAAGACAAAAAGAGAAGCCTGCGCATATGGGCTGTCTGTAATTCCCAACAGGATGAATTTAGTCTGCGTGTGATTTCCTCTCATGACCAGGTGTTACCTACCAAGGCAAAAGGAAGGAAAACATCAAAATCATTGCAAACAGAAATTCACTTTTGGACCATATTTAACTACAATCGATCACCAGTTTAACTGCCATGTTTTGGTGGAATTAATATTTTGTATTGTATTTTTTGAACCAAAATTATATGATTTTGTTCTTCATTTGAGGTATTTGAAAAAGAACAGACAGTGCGATGGAGCAAAAAATGCCATTTTTGTTCTTCTATGCTGAGAAACATAAACTATGGATTTATTCAAGAACTTGACTTTTCAGGTTTGAGTGAAGAATCAGATCTTTACTCACTTTCAGATTGGAGGCAGTTTGCGTCAGAAGGCGGCTTAGAGGAACCTCATAGGAGCACACATAAACTTTGAGCAAGAGAAAGTCACATTCCCATTGAAATCGTAGCTTACACATTAATGACCTCCAGAATTTTCCTTTGGTTTTTAGTTCTAATGCCAGTCTTAAAATAGCATATATCAAAGTGTTATACATCATTCACAAAGGATAAAATTCACATTGCTAAAGTCATGATTTCTACCTTTCTGAGTTCCAGCATGCTGAAGCATCCTAAACCTATGGGCATTATTTTGCTTGCCTTAAAAAAGAGTTGGTGTTATAAGAGGCTGAATCCAAAGCCTGATTTGTTAGTGACCATATTCTGTTGACAATCTGAAATGCTGCATTTCTTTATAACAGAATAAGATTCATCCTCATTTAACTCTTGAATAAATCAGTTCATCTTGCTTTAGCTGCCTATGTAAAAGAAACACAACCTGCATCAGACATTGCTCCCTCTTCTTATAAAGAAAACCCACATTGGTAAGGCTGTTTTCTGACACAGCTTTACCAAAGAGGATGAGAGAACATGAAGAAGCAAACCCACTGCCTCACTGCAGGTGAGGCTCTGCTTTGTGTTGGTGTTACCTCCTGTGCCTTCCCTCTGTCACCGAGTGATGGGAGCCAAGGGTTTATCCCCAGTGCAGCAGAGAACATCCACACACAGGCATCAGCTCTGTTAAGCACCTGATGTGAAGAGAGGTGAGCTCCTGCCAGACTCCAAGAGCCCAGCTTGTGGTGCTGGGGCTGTAAATACAGTTGCATGTGCTCTCCTGGGAGGAAGCCTCCAGGGCTGCTCATGCTTTCCCAGAGGAAAACAAAGAGAAGCAAAAAGCAAAGGGTGTGAAATCACCTCTGAAAGGCATTGTGGTGCTTGGGCATCTGAGAGTCATGGAGTGCATGAGATGTCTTTGAGCACAGCTACACAGCAGCACCAGTGATGAGCAGCTCTTGGGATGCTTCTGACATACTTGTGGACTATGCCAAGCATTCTAACTCTCATTGCCAACAGAATGAGAGTGGGTTTAGACCCAACAGCCCAGCCAGTGCTCACTGTTCTGCTAGTTCCTCTCCACCCAGATCATACTCCTACATTGGCAACTTAGGAGATAGTCTCTTCAGTGAGGCTTTAAAGGTGAATGAGGCCATGAAGACCGCAGGACATAGTTATTGTTCAGAAAGGACATCTAGGAGGTCACTGTTCTTATGCTGAATGTTGTAACAGGTTAGACATCTTTGTGACAATAATTAGAAGAGATATTCCATCAGCCTGTGTGCATAGAATCATAGAACAGTTAGGGTTGGAAAGAACCTTAAGATCATCAAGTTCCAACCCCCCTGCCAAGGACAGGGACACCTCACACTAAACCATGGCACCCAAGGCCTCATCCAACCTGGTCTTGAACACTGCCAGGGATGGAGCAATCACAACCTCCCTGGGCAACCCATTCCAGTGCCTCACCACACTAACAGGAAAGAATTTCCTCCTTTTAGATGTTGATTTTAAAGCTAAGCCTTTATTAGCAGTTTAGGCTGTTGTGACTCATGGGTTCTCATTCAGGGGCCAGCTTTGTTGACCAAAGTAGAAGGTTTTCCCTGATTGTCACCACCAAAAGGTTGACAACAGAGATTTCTTCCCCAAGTCCATAGACATTTAAAGAGACCTGCACCTAGGACAGAGATGTAAACTGTGGTGCAATGAAGAACTTCATCTCATGAAAATAGGCTGAGAAGCTCCAGCTGATTCACAACAGTGAAATTGTGAAGCTGCAGCCAGGAAGGGAACCTCACACAAATGGTTTGCATGGTAAAATCATCAACTGGCAGGCCCAAGGGGGAATGGTCTCAGCAACTTGTGGTCAGGAGCCAGGTGTCAATGTCCTTGCTGAAAAAAATTGGAATTGGAAGCAAAGGCCTTTGGAAATGAACCAGAAAATAAACATTCCAGAAATGTTCACACATTCTTAGCACAAAATTCTCCCTCACTGAATAGACTATCTCCTTAATGTTGCACAATGTGGCAATACTGTGGTGGCAGAAGGGACATGAGTCAGAACAGTGAGCACTTTGATTGGATCTGGGCTGTTGTGGTGAGGCACTGGAAACAGGGAGGAACTGATTGTCCCTGCAGGACCAGGTTGGATGAGGCCTTTGCCATGGTAGTGTGACATGTCCTTGGCAGGGCTGGAACTTGATCAGGTTCTCCAAAATCTGTTCTGAATGCACACAGAAACCAAAAGAGAACCTGTTACAACATTGGGCATAAATGTAGAGTTTCTGAAGCAAAGAGCATGTCCTGGGCAGGTAACATCAGAGACCTTTGAATATGGGCCAAGGCTGCAGCTTCACAAGAGATTTCTTCAAAGAAGCTGTAAGCAAGCAACTGAGAATGATGAAAGACCATCCAGTGGTAAGGAGAATTTGGGCACATCAAGGGCTCATCCCATTCATATTAAGGGGTGTTACATTCATCTGAAGTCCTATTTACTTAAATGGTGAGGTAAATGGAAATAAGCTGGAAATAAGCACCCACATGCCATGTCCATGACCAGCTCATGCTAAAGCACACCAGGGAAAACCAGACTGTCTATGTCACTTACAAATTAAGCCTGTTGATGGTGACTTAGGTCGGGGGAAAAGTGTCTTCTACTTGTGGTCAACAAAGGAGCCACAATCAATGCAATTAAATGCTGAAAAGTTAGGAAGGACAGAGGCCTTTGAAATCGGACCAGAAAACAACACTTGACTGTAATATTGAATTTCTCACTTTAATTTCCCTCACTGAATAGACTATCTCCTAAGTTGCCAATGTAGAAGTATGATCTGGGTGGAGAGGGACTAGCAGAACAGTGAGCACTGGCTGGGCTGTTGGGTCTAAACCCACTCTCATTCTGTTGGCAATGAGAGTTAGAATGCTTGGCATAGTCCACAAGTATGTCAGAAGCATCCCAAGAGCTGCTCATCACTGGTGCTGCCGTGTAGCTGTGCTCAAAGACAGCTCATGCACTCCATGACTCTCAGATGCCCAAGCACCACAATGCCTTTCAGAGGTGATTTCACACCCTTTGCTTTTTGCTTCTCTTTGTTTTCCTCTGGGAAAGCATGAGCAGCCCTGGAGGCTTCCTCCCAGGAGAGCACATGCAACTGTATTTACAGCCCCAGCACCACAAGCTGGGCTCTTGGAGTCTGGCAGGAGCTCCCCTCTCTTCACATCAGGTGCTTAACAGAGGTGATGCCTGTGTGTGGATGTTCTCTGCTGCACTGGGGATAAACCCTTGGCTCCCATCACTCGGTGACAGAGGGAAGGCACAGGAGGTAACATCAACACAAAGCAGAGCCTCACCTTCAGTGAGGCAGTGGGTTTGCTTCTTCATGTTCTCTCATCCTCTTTGGTAAAGCTGTGTCAGAAAATAGCCTTACCAATGCGGGTTTTCTTTATAAGAAGAGGGAGCAATGTCTGATGCATGTTGTGTTTCTTTTACATAGGCAGCTAAAGCAAGATGAACTGATTTATTCAAGAGTTAAATGAGGATGAATCTTATTCTGTTATAAAGAAATGCAGCATTTCAGATTGTCAACAGAATATGGTCACTAACAAATCAGGCTTTGGATTCAGCCTCTTATAACACCAACTCTTTTCTATGGCAAGCAACATAATGCCCATAGGTTGAGAGTGCCTCAGCATGCTGGAACTCAGAAAGGTAGAAATCATGACTTTAGCAATGTGAATTTTATCCTTTTTGAATTATGTATAACACTTTGATAAATGCAATTTTAAGACTGGCATTAGAACTAAAAACCAAAGGAAAATTCTGGAGGTCATTAATGTGTAAGCTATGATTTCAATGGGAATGTGACTTTCTCTTGCTCAAAGTTTATGTGTGCTCCTATGAGGTTCCTCTAAGCCACCTTCTGACACAAACTGCCTCCAATCTGAAAGTGAGTAAAGAATCTGATTCTTCACTCAAACCTGAAAAGTCAAGTTCTTGAATAAATCCATAGTTTATGTTTCTCAGCATAGAAGAACAAAAATGGCATTTTTTGCTTCATCACACTCTCTGTTGTTTCTAAATACCTCAAATGAAAACAAAATCATATAATTTTGGTTTAAAAAATACAATACAAAATATTAATTCCACCAAAACATGGCAGTTAAACTGGTGATCGATTGTAGTTAAATGTGGTCCAAAAGTGAATTTCTGTTTGCAATGATTTTGATGTTTTCCTTCCTTTTGCCTTGGTAGGTAACACCTGGTCATGAGAGGAAATCACACGCAGACTAAATTCATCCTGTTGGGAATTACAGACAGCCCATATGCGCAGGCTCCTCTTTTTGTCTTGTTTCTATTGATTTACATTGTCACTTTGGTGGGGAACTTTGGCATTATCATCTTGGTTCGGGTGTCTCCCAGCCTCCATACCCCCATGTACTTCTTCCTCACCCATTTTGCCTTCACTGACATCTGCTATTCCACAGTCATCTCCCCCAGGATGCTGGCAGACCTGTTATCAGAGGACAAAACCATTTCTTTCACTGCCTGCATGATGCAGTTCCTCACCTTTGCTTTCTTTGTCACTATTGAGTGTCACCTCCTGGCCATGATGGCCTACGATCGGCACGTTGCTATCTGCCAGCCCCTGCTTTATGTGACCACCATCTCCAGTCATGTCTGCTGGCAGCTGGTAGCATCATCCTACCTATTCGCCTTCCTCAGTGCCATCATCTACACATGGTGCGTGTTTGGAGGTTCCTTCTGTGGTCCCAACAGCATTGACCACTTCTTCTGTGACAAAGTTCCTGTAGTAAAGCTCGTGTGCTCCGACACCCACAGCAGCGAGATGCTCATCTTTGCCTTCGCCACCATCAACGTAGTGGGCACGAGCGTGGTCATTTTACTCTCCTACATCTCTATCATCCGCACCGTGCTGAGGATGTGCTCAGCACAGAGCAGGGCCAGAGCCTTCCACACCTGTGCCTCCCATTTGATGGCTGTTTCTATATTCTTTGGGACAGGATTCTTCATGTACCTACAACCTTCTTCTAGCCACGGGAGCCTGGATAAGGTGGCCTCCGTCTTCTACACCGTGGTCACCCCAACGCTCAACCCCTTCATCTACACCCTGAGGAACAAGGAGGTGAAGGGGGCTCTGCTGAAGTGCGGGAGGAAGTTGTTCAACCACTGGCAACATGCAAGACTTGTATCATGCAGGACATGAATACTCTACATCAAGTGAGAACGCCTAAACTAATGGGATTTTCCACTAATCCTCATGACTTTATGTAGGTTCTTTCACAGTTCCTGCACAATAGTCAGAGTATTTAATGAGAAATAGAACCCCCATCACATCTTCCTTGGAAGGAAACCAAGAGGAGCAGGAACCTCAAACTTCATTTCACTTCTCAGCCACCAGCTTGTAGGAAGAGATTACCTTGAATTATCCCAGGCTTCTTTTTCCTCACAGGAAACACCAATCAGCTTTATTCAATTCTCACTTTTGTCACTGATAAATATCCACTTTTCTTGCAAGATTCTTGACCTTGTCCCTCAGCTCCAATATGTGTAATATGTGTTTATGTGTGTAAATATATATATGTGTGACAGAGGAATACAAATAAAACGTATAAAACTGGTATTACAAATAAAGTGACACATATAGACTTAGAGAATCACAGAATTGTTTAGGTTGGAAAAGACCTTTAAGATCATCCAGTCCAACCATTCCCCAGCACTGCCAAGGCCACCACTAACCCATGGTACTAAGGTCCTTGTCTACACGGTTTAGGACACTTGTAGGAATGGTGACCCCAGCTCTGCCCCGGGCAGCCTATTCCAATGCCTGAGCACCCTTTTAGATATTTCCTAAAGACAGCTGACTGGGAGGGTACTGTCCAAATGGAAGGTGGTAGCAGTGATCCTTCAGCAAGAGGGATTTATTGGAAGCCTGCTGCAGTGTTTGGCTATGGGGATATGCTGCCTTTTGATCAGCCCTGGGGAAAACATACCTGGCATCTACACTGGATATAACTGTATAGGGGTTTTTCCCACTGATTTTCCCACTGGACTCCAGTATTTAAGGTCATTTTATAAATTCATACTGTTGTTGTTTCTATTTTTCCCCAAGAAAGTGATTTCTTACTTTCTAATCTTTTTACTACTAGCTTCGGTTTCCTTTGCACAAGCATACGGGCCCATTGAGGAGGCAGCGAGAGCAAAGGAAGCTGACAGAGCCAGTTGTATTTAGAATTCCCATGACATTTCCCATGACAATTCCACTTGGACTCAATGTATGGATCTGCATGACTGTACTGCACAGAATCATCTCTATCTTGAGAAAAAACTGATTTTCTCACCTCCTGGCTTGCTTTATAAATCAGAGCTTCAGAGAAGTAAATCCTCCAAGTCTCCTTTTTTTCTCTGTTCAGTTCTATAGGGTGTTGGGTGTCAATGTTTGGCTGCATCTACCAGAGACTCCTGTCTTTACCGGTTATTACTTTCTACCTTAGATGGTTGGGATACGATGCCAGCAGCCTCACTGGGCACATCACCTATGGCAATCTTGTTTTCTCTCCCCTTCAGCTTTAGCTGAAAAATTTCCTTAGTGATTTTGTAAGTTAAAAATCTGGAGCTGTTAATTCCTCAGCCTTTGAGATGGGTTTTCTTCTGGGAGACAGACTAGAACAAGATCGGAAACTGTCCTGAAGTTACTGAGAAAGAGCATTTCTTAGAGATGGCACCTCAGCATCTTCAAAGCAAAGAAACATTGAAGCTGGAAAGATTAAAGAGTCTTTACTAAGACTTGAAACCCATTTCCAAATAAAAGTGCTGCCTATCTACTAGAGACCATAATTCTAATATCATATTTGCAAATGGAGGAGATACTAATGACCAGAGAATAACACTGAATGGAATGCTCAGTTGATTACTCTATTTTCCTCACTGAGAAGACTATCTCCTAATTTGCCCATGCAGGGACATGGTCTGAATGGAGAGCATGTGCCAGAGCAGTGAGCACTGGCTGGGCTGTTGGGTGCAGCCAGAGAAAGGTTCTAATTTCATAGAATCATAGAATAGTCAGGGTTGGAAAGGACCTTAAGATCATCCAGTTCCAACCCCCTTACCATGGGCAGGGACACCTCAGATAAATGTTACACCCAGGATGGTGAAACCTGGCCAGTACCACAGGGGTTTCTCTCTTTAATCTCTTGAAAGAGAGCCAAAGGGGAACACCAGGGTGCAGGGACCACCCCACAGTACCTGAGCAAGTGAAGCAGGGCAGGAACAGAGCCTGGGCCAAGTGTCCACCTCAGGCAAGTTGGTGAAAAAGACATGGTCTAGTGTGAGATGTGTGTCATCCAGCAATTGCTGGAAATGTCAAACCTAGGTCTTTTGTTACAGTGCAACCACTGAACCCCTTCTCCTTTACATTTCTTTGTTAGAACTTGGGAGGGTTACCCTGGAATGTGATATATACCTGAGTATCACCCTGGGGAGATCATTGTATTAAAATGATTTCTCATCCTTGAATACAGTGGAAGCCCAGGGAACAGCTTGGCAGGTCTTCATCAAAGGAGGATGTGCTCACACAGAGCATAAAGCCTTCCACACCTGCATTCCTTGATGGTTGCTAAACTGTTTTTTGATGCTATCTAGCCACAGGAGATGATAAGGTGGCCTCCACAAATGGCTCAACCCATTCATCTGCAGCCAGATCTCTGATAAGGAGAGGGTTGGTGTGCACAAGGAGGTTCTCCAACCACTGGCCCAAAAGACCTCTGTCATTGATGGTTCATCTTAACTTAGGTGCTGCGATGCACTCCATGAATTTTTAATTCACATGACTCTATGAAGCCAAACAACTGCACAGTGACAGTTGTAATAGAGAGAGAGATGGCTGAGGAAGGAAATCAGAGGACCAAGCAACCTGACAAAGCTTCACTCAGTTTGTAGGCACCAGACTGAGGGAGAAAGCCCTCAACTATCCCAAGCTCCTTTTTCAATCCAGCTTTCCTCATTTATAACTTTTGTCATCACACTACAAGATTGTTGACCTTGGCTCCATGGTAAAATTCCTCACTCTTAGGAGCTCGCTAAAGCTGCTGGGGTGGGAGGGAAGTCCCCCAGTTTTACATTTGCTTGCTGAAAAAGAGTCACAGAAAAGGTCTCTCCTCGATTTGCTTGTGCCTTTCAAAGAGAAGAAGGTGGTGGGAATCGTTAATGCACTTTTGACCTTCTGATCCCTCCCCAGGGAGAATCAAACAAATCATTCATAACTCATCGGCTGCCCAGTGTAAGCCCAGCTTTACTTCATTCATAGCCTTTGGCATTTATGACCTTTTACCTAAATGGTGAGAGAAATGGCTTCCTCCTGGCTGCACCCACATCCCATGTCCATGCAGGACATGCTCACATAGCACCAAACAGTGGATTTCATATAATCTGCAAGCCCTTTGGGTAGTTTCTGTTTCAGACAATCCTGCACCATCAATGGTATTGCAATGAGAAAAGGCCAACACACTGATCCGGGAAGGAAACCAAGCTTGGCCTCAAACTGCAACTTCCTGGGGCACACAGATTACCTTATAATGATGCTTTTTGCTCAGCAATCAGCCAAGATTCAATTTCTCACTTTTGTCTACTGTGAAATCACTTTTCTTGCAAGGCCTTCAAAACCTTCTCTGACCACATTGTGTAAATGTGTTTTGTGTGTAAATATACATATGTGTGACAGAGGAATATTTGTCAAATGGCCACAGACGGTGACCATCTTGGCCGTCCTGGTCTCCTATGCCTTCATCCTCGCACTCTGGTGTCCTTATGCTGTCTCAGGGAATCAGTTTCAAAGCAGAGACAACTGGGCCGGGACAAACCTTCTCCACGTGCCACCTGTGTCACCTGGCTGGAGTCACCATCTTCCACGGCTCCATCCTCGCTAAACCTGAACTGACACACCAGAAGGTCTGGCAGCAGCCTAAGCACGGATAAGGTCTTTGCTGTGTTCTACTCGCTGGTTGCCCATGCTGAACCCCCTCATCTACAGCCTCAGGAACATGGAGGTGAAGAACCTGAGAAGGGACTTTGTCAGGTGGAAGTAGCTTTGGCACGATCATTTAGCTGCATTTTGTGACAAAGGTCTCCAGGAGCAGAGCTTCAGGTGACACCAAGGACTTTTGTTTCCCCACCCTATTCCTTCACCTTAAAGATCTGGTTTGGAGCCATTTTTAAGTCTGTCTTTCTTCCTATGACTGGCTTGTGCCACAACTCCATCAATCTGATTTATCTCTGTATTTGTGCATTGCAGTTTCCCCTGGCCCCCCTCAAGACCGCTAATTTTGTCTTATGAGATGGGTGCTGAACATGTCCCATTAGCCAGCTCCAAACCAGATCTTTAAGCTGAAGGAATAGGGTGGAGAAACAAAAGTCCTTGGTGTCAGCTGAAACTCTGGAGACCCTTGTCACAAAACCAGCAGCTAAACATCGTGCCAAAGCTACTTCCACCTGACAAAGTCCCTCAGGGCGTTCTTCACCTCCCTGTTCCTGAGGCTGTAGATCAGGGGGTTCAGCATGGGCACCACCAGCGAGTAGAACACAGCAAAGACCTTATCCGTGCTCAGGCTGCTGCCAGACCCTGGTCGGAAGTTCAGGGCGAGGATGGACCCGTGGAAGATGGTGACTCCAGCCAGGTGAGAGGTGCACGTGGAGAAGGCTTTGTACCGGCCCCGAGCAGAGCTGATCCCTGAGACAGCAGCGAGGATGAAGGCGTAGGAGACCAGGACGGCCAAGATGGTCACCATCTCCACCAGCCCACCAAGGACAAATATCAGACACCTATTGACACGTGTGTCAGAGCAGGAGAGGGCCAGAACAGGCGTGATTTCACAGTAGAAGTGGTTGACCTTGGCTGGCTGGCATAAAGGCAGGCTGAAGGCGAACTCTGTGTGCACCCAAGAGTTCAGCAGGCCAAGCACATAGGAACTGGCCACCAGCAGCATGCAGAGCCGGTGGGACATGATACGCTGTACAGCATTTCCCCCCCCCCCTTTTTGGGGCCATGGCAGCGGATGGCCAAGCATGGTGCTCGGTGGTGCCAAAGGCTATGAAGAAGTAAAGCTGGGTTGCGCAGCCGATGAGAGAGATTGTTTGCATCTCTCCATCAGAAGGTTCATTAACGTCCTCGGTGCCACCACCGATGAGTAGCAAGCATCGAGGAGAGATAAGTTGCTAAGGAAAAAGTACAAAGTAATGACTGCAGTACTTTTAAGACAAAAACTGGCTGCTCCCTGATGAGCACAACCATGCCCAGGTTCCCCACCAGTGTGATGAAGTAAAACTAAGTGGTATCTAAAGATGAGATTTGTTAACTAATTGTTAGGTAGATAAGGCTGTTGAATAATATCGTCTTTAATGCTCATTTCAATGTAGGCCAGGTTTTGAATCGTCTCTAGAGAACTCAATATTCTCCTCCAAAATATTCAGGCTGATTTAACACACCTGCAGAACAGGGTAAAGAGGCCCATGTCCAGCTCTTCCTGCCAAAAGGTGCTTTCTTTTTGAGGTATCAGAAGCACTTAATGAGAGGACCTCTGTCATGTATTTGATGTGAGAAGTTTGTGTCTACAGCCAGGGCTTTCTGCTTTTTGTAGATCCCTTCTCTGCAAAGATTGAAGCAGAATCATGCAATGAAGCTCTCAGTATAAAATGTATTTCCAGAACCTCAAGCCTGTTTCTTATATTGCTGGAATTCACAATTGTGCCTCCCCTGCATGTTAGACTGAGGTTCCTATTGCCAGTTCACTGAGTCGGATCCACCACACACAGGACTATGGCATTCAAGACTTCCCTTGGAAAGGTAGCACCAAGTGTGGGTAAACCTTTGACCATTTCAGTTGTCTCTGCTTTGGAAACTTTCTTAAACCCAAGAGGAAATAAGGACACCAGAGTGGGGTAATTCATCAGACAGTGATGAGCCCTCCACATGACACTGCTCATCTAGACTCCTGTTTCCACCAAAGCTCGGATCAGATGATATTTTGAGGTCCAGCCTGGGCTTTCTGTGGCTCTATGATTCTATATGTATAGTCTAAGCCAAAATATCCAACAAAATGGAAGAAAACAAGGTGTGGTGAAGGTTTTGAAGGAAGCTGTCCGATATCAAAGGTCTCTGTCCTGCCAACACGTTCCCCCACATGTAAGACAATGTGTTCTCTTAATACTGTTGTTTTTCAGAGCACATAAGCAGTGTGTTCATTATAAACATACTTTCCAAATAGAAGTTAATTCCTACTCACATCAGCTAAAGGATTTTTCCCCGATCAGTGTGTTTTGGCTTCTTTGAGACCCGGATAGCTCTCAATTACCATTGATTCTGTGTTCAGGATTGTCTTTCATCAACAGAAACTTCCCACAGGCTTAATTCTTATATGAAATCCACTGTTTGGTGTTTCCCAGTGTGCTTGAGCATGAGCTGGGCATGGACATGGGATGTGGGTGCTGATCTCGAGCTGGAATTCCATTTCTCTCACCATTTAGGTAAAAGGTCATGTCAAATGAGTATAAAATACCCCTCAAAATGAATGGGAGGAGACCTGATGTGCCCAAATTTTCCTTTACACTGGGTGGTCTCAGCACAGTTCATCATCCTGTGTTATGAATGATATTGTCTACAATTTTTTCCTTTATGTATAATCTATTGTAAAGCTGCAGCCTGGGGAGGGATTCGCCCTGATATTCAAAAGTGCAACTTGAGAGCTTGATTCCCACCAACTTCTTCTCTTTGAAAGGCACAAACAAATGCATTGAATCTTTTGAAACCTTTTCTGTGACTCTTTTTCAGCAAGCAAATGTAAAACTACACTTGCTCTTCCCTCCCACCCCAGCAGCTTTAATAAAGAGCTCACAGGTAAGAGTGAGGAATTTTATTGGAGCAGAGAACAAGGTCAACAATCTTGTAAGAAAAATAGATAATTACGAGTGACAAAAGTTATAAATGAATAAAGCTGATTGGTGTTTCCTGTGAGGAAAAGGAGCCTGGGATAATTGAGGGTAATTTCTCCCTACAGACTGGTGCCTACAAACTGAATTGAAGTTTGAGGTTCCTTCTCCTCTTGATTTCCTTCCAAGGAGCACGTGATGGCTGGGTCTCTCTCTCATTACATACTGTCATTGACTTCTGTGCAGGATCTGTGGAAGAACATAAATAAAGTCATGTGGATTAGTGAAAATCTCATTGTTTTAGTGCATCGCAGTCTTCCTCAGTTAAGATGAACTGTTCAGGTCCTGCATGACAGAGCTCCTTTGTGTAGCCAGTGGTTGAAGAACCTCCTTGTGCACTTGACCAGAGCCGCCTCCACGTCCTTGTTCCTCAGGCTGCAGATGAATGGGTTGAGCATGGGGGTGATCATGGTGTAGAAGATGGAGGCCACCTTATCCAGTCTCCTGTGGCTAGATAGCAGTTGTAGGTACATGAAAAGTGTTGTATCATAGAATAAGTCAACAACCATCAAATGGAAGGTGCAGGTGTGGAAGGCTCTGGCCCTGCTCTGTGCTGAGCACATCCTTTACGTGGAATCCTTTGATGAAGACCTGCTGAGCTGGTGACTCTGGGCTTCCACTGTATTCAAGGATGAGAAATGGGCATTTTGAGGCAATGATCAATTATCCCAGGGTGAAGTAACAGGCCTTTATCCCCCTGAGCAGCCTCAGCTGGGCCTCCATCCCCACCCTCTGCCCATTTGTCCCCCTTCTCTATTTAATCTCAGCCCAGGGAGGTTGAACTTCATAAGAGGAGTTCTGGTTCCCAGTTTGGCAGGAGGTGTGCACACCTGTGGAATCCTTTGATGAAGACCTAGGTTTGCTCATAGGCTTTCCTAGCAATTGCTGGACCTGACCGTGCTTCAGGGCCTGATCTTGC